AAGGGGAAAATACAAAATTTAGGGGAAATTCTGTCCAATTTTTTTAAAACTTATAGTGAATTGTGGAAATTTAAGGTATTAATAATTATATTGAGTCAATATTGAAGATTAAGTAATTTTTTTGATAGTTTCTTATTTTGGTTTATCTTGTTTTGGTTGATTGTATTTTTATATATTTTTTGTATACATGGGAAAAATACAAAATTTAGGGGAAACTCTGTTGAATCTTTTTAAAATTTATAAGGAATTGTGGAAATTTAAATAATTATAATATGGTATTGATAATTATATTAAGTCTCCAATGAAGATTAAGTAATTTTTTTGATAGTTTCTTATTTTAGTTTATCTTATTTTGGTTGATTGTATTTTTATATATTTTTTGTGTACATGGGGAAAATACAAAATTTAGGGGAAATTCTGTTGAATTTTTTTAAAATTTATAATGAATTGTGAAAATTTAAATACTTATAATATGGTATTGATAATTATATTAAGTCTCCAATGAAGATTAAGTAAATTTTTTTGACAGTTTCTTATTTTGGTTTATCTTGTTTTGGTTGATTGTATTTTTATATATATTTTGTGTACAGGGAGAAAATATAAAATTTAGGGGAAACTTTGTTGAATTTTTTTAAAATTTATAAGGAATTGTGGAAATTTAAATAATTTAATTATGATATTTATAATTATATTGAATATTATAGTTGCAAGTATATAGTTGAGTATATAATATTGTTAAACTTTATTAAATGATATAGTATATTATATGATATATTGCAAGAAAGATTAAATGCAGAGGCCATTCTGAAATATGGAGATGATACAACTACATGGCCAACAGCAGTTGACGCCCAGCTCTTGTCCCAAGTTTCGGGTGGACCTTCAAAAGATGGGTGACTTTATGGCATGCCTATATACATGGATCCTGAGGAGCAAGGGGTCTCACACCGCAAGCGTCCACCACATACCATACCTGATAATTCTGTTCAATCATCCCAACAGGTGGTCCAATTGCAACAGACTGTAATAGAATTACAAGATAATCAACTGACATTACAAGAGAAGGTTGAGAGGATGGAGAGAATGTTTTTTATGATGCAGGGAGGGATGCAAGGAGGGATGCAGGGAGGGATGCAGGAAGGAATGCATGGAGGGATGCTGGGATGGATGGAGGGAGGGATGCAGGGATGGATGCAAGGAGATGGAGGGGCTGGGACAAGTGGGGGAGCATAATTGGCATTGCTTTCACTCAGTTGATCTTTATATCATAACATCTTCTATTATTATATATGAAATGGACATGTATGAGATAGGGGCATAGTGCTGTAATTAGTTAGTATTTTAGATTAAAACACTTTAATTATGATATTAGGTTATGTTTTATAATCATATGTTTTTAGATAAAGTTTTCAACTATATATTTTAATTTACATTTAAAACATATGGGTAATTATTTGGTATAGTTTTTAATTAAGTTATTTATGTAATTTAGATAAAAAAAACGTTTGAAACAAATTAACTAAAAAAAAGGAAACGTCAAAAAGTAAGAAATATAATAACAATTAGGGGATAGATTAACATATTTGAAACAAACAAATTAAATTATTTGTCATAATAATTATTTGGTCAAATTGTGAGAAGAAATAGTGGAAAAATCAATGAAATATTTTGGTCATCTTAGTTGACCAAACTAGTGCAACTATTTTGGTCAATTTCATTGACCGAAATATGGTGGCCATGGCAACCGAACCACCATTGCACAGCTTTAGGGGAGGACACTATGTCATTTATTTCGGTCAAGTACCTTGACCAAAATAAGTTGGCCAGTAGCAGACCCACTGTTTCACAATTCCGAGGGAGCACACAATGTCCATTTAGTTCAATCAATTTACTTGACCGAAATAATATGCACAGTACCACCAACCCTCATCTGCTGAAGTAACAATGGAGATATATTTCGGTCAATTTTATTGACCGAAATAAAATGACCAATAATCAACCCCCCCAGCTGTTTTGTGAGTTAGTGTAGAATTATTGGCAATATTATTTCAGTAAAAGTGATTGACCGAATAAATCAGAGAAAAATCTACACCAATCTGGCATACAGATGGTATGGATGTCAGTTTGATTTGTTCAATCAATTTAGTTGACCAAAATAATTGGTAAATTTTTTTTCCTCAACTATTTTGGTCAAAAGTTCTGATTTGCCGAAAATTTTCAGTTCTATGATGATGGTGATTTATAGATTTGAAATCAGATTCTTCTCTTTCTAATACATTTTTGATTTTCTTTATAATTGAGATAAGTATATACTTTCAACTTTCTCACAAACTCCATTTCTTCATACTTATGCAATTTTTTTTTTACAGTTTTTCGATAATTCTTTGGGTGAAACCAAAGACTAATTAAGAGTTTCTACTACTTGTTGTGGCGTCAATTTAGTTGTTTTTGGGAATTTTGAGTTAAGAAAGGTATGAGTACTACAATCTTCCTTCTTTTTTCATTTTTCGCTCTTTTAGTTGATAATTTTTTAATTCATTTTTGCCATCAATTTAAATTTAAATACAATTATGATAGATTAATCAATTGTGTTTCACTACTTTGTGTCTCGATCTATTATTCTATCCTGTTAATTTGGGTTGATGTTAGTTAAATTTTATGTTTTTATTTTTTAAAAATATAAATTATTAAAAATCACAAGATTTTTAATAATTTAAATGTATTATTTGTTATTGTATCATAATTTTCATTTTCATTGTTATGGTGTTTACATATTTGTGAGTGATTAATTGATTTTATTTAGACTTAGGAATCGTGGTATAAATTTGTCGTTTCCGGTGTATCTATCCCACTCAAATAAGTAATTTCTCCTTCATTTTTATGAAATAAAACTATGACAAACTACATTAGAGTAGATGTATAAATTTTTTCCTTTATATTTTTTTTAGAAATTTAGTTTAGAAAAAAATAAAAAAATTTATGATTAGTAGTTGGTAATGTATGATTAAATAAATCAAATTAATTTTCATGAAATAATGATTTATTATGCAATTGATTGATGACTTTTAGTAATTAATTGATTGATTCATGTATGTAGTGATTACAGTATTTTATTGTGAAGTAAACTACAATTTATTAAATTATTTGATTGCTAAAAAAGGATAATTATAATTGATTGATTAATAATTCGTAATTATATATTTAATTGCTAAGTAAATTATGATCAATTTAATAACTTAATCAATTAAAAAATTATGATATAATTATTTACTTGAATGATAAATAAGTATCATCATAATATTTAATTAATTTATTATAAAATTACTATGTGCCAAATGTATAGTTAACATTACTTTTAAAGCAAAATGGATAGTCAAGATTGCTTTGATAGCCAGATGGACAGTTAACCATATTTTGACAATCAAATAGGCAGTCAGCCGTACTTTGACAGTCAAATGGATAGTCAACCATACTTTGATAGCCAATATGATTGTATAATTTCTTTTTCCTTTTCCCTCCCATAATTTAATTATTCATGTTGCTGCATACCATTTACTAACAAATTAATTAATTTAATGTTAATTTACATAGGAATTGTTGAAGATACTCCTGAAGCATTATGGGATTGTCCATCTCGAAGTTCTCCAAGGAAGAAGTTGATAAACGCAAGGAATCATATAGCAATGCCTCAAGACATTCCATTGCCTAAAAATGAAGACAACATTATTTTCCAAATATGTGATATTCCTGGACATTTAGCTACCATATGCCCGCATCGATATGCAGTAACTTGTCAATTGTGTAACCGTGAGGGTCATGCTGCAAAGGTTTGCCCAAATTGTTACCGATCTAAAATCATGTCAAACTCATCCAAAACACCTGCTGAGTCCTCTGAAACTGTTACAAAGATCTTAGGTAATGGTCGTTTGCATCTAACATTTTCAAAAAAATCATGGGATGCGGTATGCGAAAAATTACGTTCCATTGAAGAACTGTAGTTTCTTTACCAAACTTACCTATATTTTGTAATATATTTTCTAATTTGCCTTATCCATGTATGAGATTATGATCGGACATAGCACTTTAATTAGTATTTTATGTCATGACATTTTAATTATAATATTAAGTTATTTTTTATATTTATGTATTTTAATTACATGTTTTAATATATGTTTAGAATTGAATATAGAACCTTATAATTGTTAAAAACTTTATCTAAAAAAGTTTTAAACAAATTAAGTAAAAAAATAAGACTTAACAACCTATTTCGATCAAGTAAATTGACCGAAAAATGGCAACATGATATCCCACGCCCTGGTTAACAATTGATCTTAAATTTAGTGAAATGATTAATTCGGTCAAAT